TGTGCGTGTGTATATATATATATATGTATATGTATAATGTGTGTGTGTGTATATACACACATGCATACGTGCTATCTCATAGTTTGCAAAAATGCGCAGTTTATTAAGTTTCTTAAACAAACGTGTTTGAAATTTGAAAAGAATGTATCTTTCTTCTTAAAAATTTGGATTTGGATGTTTAATAAATTTAAAGTAGCACAATATTTGCAAAGAAAAATACAGTAACATAATTTAAGTCTAGAAAGTTTATTACACATAAAAGAAATGGTACGGATGTTAATGATTTTAATTTTGTGCAACTTAGACAAAAACTTATTTAACTCAATTCCTCTTAGCATATTCTTTTTTAATTATTCGCGATAGTGTTTGTTTTTGATGCTACTTTACTATGTCATCATATGCTCTTCTGAATTTAAGAATTGTTTAAAATTGAGTCATTGACATTCTTGCGTGTATTATTTTTTCTTTGAAACCAAATGTTTGCACCAGTATCTTCTTACAAATTCTGATCGATACATCTTACTTTGATCTTTTATAAATATTTTATTCGGTTAACGCTGGTGTATGATGTATACTCAAATATGTGGAAGAATAACACAATGGAAACGATATAAGAAATGAAAAAATAACGAAATTCTCTATGATTTGTGCCACTTTTTGTTCATTCGTTAAATTGATTTCCAGTCATGCATAAATAAATCACATCAAGTATTAGTCGTGATATACGACTTGTTTATTTATCCTTGAATTATCACGCGGTTGGTATAAATACAAATTTGGTCGTTTGTAGTTCACAGCTGATAATCAATTCAAATATCGTAGGTATATGGATACAGTAGACAATGCGGGTAGCATTTAGGTACAGCCGCGTACTATGTTTAACTTTATAGGTTTTAACATATTACACAACAACTCAGGTTGTCATTACCTGTAATATCAATATACAAACACGCCTTCAATTTGCCATATTACATAAAATGCTATAAACTCTAATGTTAATGCCCTTGTAGGACAATGAAATCCAACTTATTTCCATGGTATATTTAATAAAATGCACTTGAATTTTTTATGTTGTCTGTTTTCAAGTGTAACAAATGGGGGAAAAAACAAAATTGTAATTGAAAACAATAATGTATTTGATTTACGTATTTAAATATTATTTAATTGCAAAAAAAATTGTAAAAAATTTTGAAAATAAACGGTTTTTGTTCAAAAAGTCTAAGTGTAATAAATATTTAACAGATAGCATAAAAATGTATAGCCGTGGTAATAATGGCAACAGTAGCACTAATAGTAATGTCATAGCAGTAGTACTAATAATTTTAGTACATATTACGTTATACATTACATAATACTAAAGAAAAATATATTGCGTGTAACTGAACATATTGAAATTGATATGTATCTAGGAAAATTATAAATAATTTAATCTTTAATGTAAACACCTCATATTTACAAGAAACAAAACTATGTAAACTATTCGAGTGCCAATTTATATAGGTTATTATTATTGCCTCGTTGAGAAATACATATCTATACTTTTCACATTTTTGACAGGTACTTAATGTTAAGAGATTTAATATTTGTTGTAAATTTATATATAATTTGTACAGGTTAATCATTATGCAGTTCGCACATGCGCATATGTCTACCCATGCGTATACGCAGCTACACACGAGAATATTACCATTAAATTGTATGTAGTAATGAAGTGTTTCTTATAAATAAAGGAATAAAAAAAAATTGATGTGTTCGAAGTTGTTAAATTGGATTACATTTGTACAAACTGAATAGTGGAGAAATAAAAGAAAATGAAGAATGCCTAAACTAACATGGTAAATTACTTTGAATAGAAGGATAAAAGAAAAGTTTCCTTATTTGAAAATTTTACATAAAACCTTGAGATTTTGAATAAAGCGATAATACTATTACACAAATATAATTTTGTTTTAAAATTGGTAATGTAAGCCTAACTTAAGTCTTAAAATTATATGTAATTGTGTGATGTATTAAACATAACCAATAGAATATTGTTTCAATCTTTTTCAGTTAAACTTGAAAAAGATAAGAATACTTGCACGTTGTACCGCTTAAACGTACGTATATATTAAGTGAAATGAATATTCTGATGTATGTTCCAAACATTCGTAAGGGATGGCTGAAAAGGAGGCAAAGATTGAATACGTGACAGAACCTTGCCCTATTAAACCTCGTAAAATAGGTCCACAGAATATAGTGGTACGCTTAAAGCGGCGGGAAACATTTGGTTGTCCTTATCCAGGGACACATGTGCACAGTGCCAGACAATTTTATCAAAATGTATTCCCAAACTTTACTGTTATGAATGTAGAGAAACCTCCATGTTTTCTCAGAAAGTTTAGTCCCGATGGTCGTTATTTAATAGCTTTTAGCGCTGATCAAACTTCCATAGAAGTTTACGAATATTGTGGTGCATCTGCAGCTGCTGATTTATTGGCAAATTGTGAAGGAGAATATATTGGTCATAAAAATGATGAACGCAGTTTCCAAATAAGAAGTAACATTTTTAGTCGATTTTTCAAGGTACCTTGCATTATAGTATGTTCTTTTAATATAATAGTTTCATTTATATACAAGAAATGATTATCAAAGGACAAATGGATAACAACACGTATTATGATATTTGTAGGCTAAATGGATTGTGAATGTAGTTCAAAGTAATGAACAATTAAACAGAGAATGCAGTTTGTTTACTGACGATGGTCGATATGTGATTGTTGGTTCAGCTGCTCATATTCCAGATGAATTAAGACCACATTTTTACCAGGTAAAAATTTGATCAAGTAACAATTAATAAATCATTTGTTATCATTAAATTTTATTCTTTCAGATTTACTCTAACAATGAAGCATTAACTCCAAATCCCAGATCACCACTTGAAGACTATAGTTTACATCTTGTTGATTTACGTGGGGGAAAATTATGCGATACTAGACATTTTAAAGTAGACAAAATATATTTATCTCACAATCAGGGTAAGCCTTTTTGAATTTCATACAGTTTACAAATAAAATGTTCCAGATCATTCGATAAATATTTTTATTTATACAGGCCTCTATCTCTATAAAGATATATTGGCAGTATTATCTGTGCAACATCAAACCATTCACATATTTCAAATTCTTGATGGAATGTTTATTAATGTTAGAACAATAGGAAGGTACCAGATGTTTAAAAAAGCGTCTTTTGTTTCACATTTATCCTAATAACTGTTGTTATGCTGTCAATGACTGATTCCAATTTGTAACAGGTTTTGTTTAGAGGATGATGCTTACTTGGTTACAAGCGCTTGTCCAGGAGTAAACTGCCGCCCATTTAGAGATGTTACAATAAACAGTCTTAAGCACAAATTATTGGTTTATCTGTACAAAAGAGCAGCGTACATTAGCGATACAACAAAGGATCCATATGAATTAAGGCGTTTCTATCAATATTTTGACCAAGTATTGTATAAAAATTTAAACATACACAATCGTATAATTTTAAACATAATAGTGTTTCAAATATCGATAATTTGAACACTAATAAATATTTTAGTTAAATGCATTGCGAATGTGGAAAATGCAATTATTAGATACAAATCATATACTTGTAAGATTTGCGAGTGAGGAAGTGGCAACGCTTCAAGCAAATGAACCTAACGTGCAACCGGCACTTTTGGTGGTTTATGATATGGTTACTGCTAAAATATTAGCTGCGTATGATAACGCATCCACACAACTGTTGACACAATTTGAAAACTTTAGTGATTTCTTCAGAAATGCTAGAATGAGTAGCGATTGTCAGTATATGTGTTCACCATCCAATAACATCTATGCAAGGTATAGTATTTGAATAGAGTATGATGTAATATTGAGCAACAAAGAAGCTGGAACTTTGTAAAACATTCTGTAGAGCAATATACCGCCAATTAGTCATAACGTTAACATATAGTTTTATTATAGATTATTACAGCAAAGATTCAAACAAACAATAGTAAGTGCCAGGTATGGTGGTGTTACAGAAGCTACGAAAAGATTACTTGCTCAATTGCCGATATGCGCTCAATCGTACTCTAGTTCTCCATATCTGGACTTATCTCTATTTTGTTATGATGATAAATGGGTATCCATGATGGAGCGTCCGAAGGCTTGCGGCGAGCATCCTATACGGTACATATAATTTTGATTTTCAATATTTACCAGAATTACTCGCTAAAATTATGATCTATAAATTTTCAATTCGCGATGTTCGTGTAAGCCATTACTATAGATTATTAAAGTTATTTTTATGAAAATATTACAAGTAGTTTTAATAGTGGTTCACACATACATAGGTATAACCATTTAATGCTATCACATTATTTTTATAGGTTTTATGCCCGTGATTCTGGCCTCTTAAAATTTCGAATGTACGCGGGAATGCTAGGACGCACAACACCTACAGCTGCAAGGCGACTGGTTGCATTTACGTTCCATCCGACAGATCCGTTTGCTATTTCCGTTCAACGAACGAACGCTGAATACATCGTCAGTTTCCATGTTAGGCACGTTTGACTGACCTATCATCGAAATGTCTAAATACTGTACCATCTTTACATTTTATTTCCAACAAAAACGATCTCATTGTACAGTTTTAATAATAATAATTAACTCTATTGAATTGAACAATTTTCAAAATAATTAGGGGGTATATATTCGT